GGCGACCTCGGCTACCGCAGCTGGCCTGATCGACGTCGGAGGCTCACAAGTTGTCCTTCGTCATCCTGAATCGTTCCACATGTGGACGGATGGAGTTCATATGAGGCTCCTGGAAAAAAGAGATTCGTGCTGCTGCTGACGCTGCTGCAGGCTCTCGTTCGACCCGTCCGCCCTCTTCGTTTCGTCGTCGGCAGTTGTTGGAGCGCCAAGCTGCGATCTGGGCCCCATTCTCACGGAGGTTGGTTCTGCGTGCTGTGCGGGACGGCCCTCGGTTAGCTGAATCTCCAGGGGAAAGGGTTGCTGCTCCCACGGAGTATTGGCGTCCTGTCTTCTCGCGCTCGGAAGTCGATCTCGAAGCTGCTCAGACTTATATCGAACAGCGGTGTCCCTCACCTGTGCTCCCTGACGTCCCACCACCTTCGAAAGCGACGATTCGAAACATTGTTGCTCGTGCTCGCCACTCTGCCCCTGGGGTCGACGGTCTGCCGTACGCGGCATGGGCTGCTGCCGATTGCTGCCTGGAAGTATTATGTCTTATGATGGACTGGATCCTGCGTGGCCAGTCGCTCTTCGACCCGGCCAGTGTTACTCTGCAAGCGTACCTTCCTAAGGGATCGGAACACGAAGACTTGGCCTCTGGAGGCTGCATCCGCACTGCCGATAAGATCAGGGTCCTCGGGCTTCGCAACACCGACCTGAAAATACTGACGTCTGCCGTGAACCGATCACTTAAAGGTGTCGTCGACTCCCTCGTCCCTCAGTCGCAGCGCGGCTTCGTTCAGGGCCGAAACTTCGGGTACAACATCTTAGAGCTAGACGGCTTCAGTCGTATCGCTGGGGCCCACCCGCTGGCCCCGTCTAAGATGCCGCTGCTGGTCTCGTTCGATTTCGGCCAGGCCTTCCCGAGCCTCTCCCAGGAGTTCATGATGCTTTTCCTTGCTCACCTTCGCCTGCCATCCCCAGTGATGCATTTCCTAGCCTGGTTGTACTCTGCGATAGAAGGGGTCGTGGCCCACGGTGGCCTGCTCCACTCGGTGTATTGGCTGAGGTCGGGGATCATGCAGGGCTGCGGCCTGTCTGGGACCTTGTACGCGTTGAGCACGGCCCCGTTCCTGACTGACTTGGAATGTTCCCTTGAGGATTCTGGACTTGGCCTGGCGAGGGCCTGCGCGGACGATATTGGGGCTGTCTTGTTCGAGGCTCGCGGGCTCCAGGTGCTACACCGTGTGATGACTACTACGAGGCTCTTTACTGGGCTTTGCCTCAAGGTCAGTAAATGCAAGGTCACCCCGCTGCGCGAGACGTTCGGCCCTGACCTTCAGGAAAGGACGCGTGCTCTCCTCGGTCGGCTTGTTCCCGAATGGCAGGCTTTCGAGGTCGTGGCCCACCTGATGTACCTGGGCGTTCTCTTGGGGCCCGACGTCACGATCCAAATGCAGTGGGGCGCTGCTCGGATGAAACTAAAGTTACGGGCCAGGCTCCTTGGTTCCGGCTCCGCTCCCTTGGGGATCAACGGCGTGCTCTACCGATCGAGAGCCCTCCCTGTCTTGTCCTACCTGGCCCAGTTCTTCCCCCTGCCTCCCAGGATGGTCGCTTTCGAGCTCTCTGGGCTTACCCAGGTATTCCGTGCTCCCATGGGTACTCTGTCTGCCTCTGGCTGGGCCCAGCTCTATGCGTGGGGTGGCCCCAAGATCCCGCTCGTGCAGCATACGTGCGCCGCCGCGCTGTCCCGAGCTGCCACCATTACGTTCAGCGAACACACCCACATACGCTCTAACATTACTAACACTACTCTTTCATGGAATGATGATCTACTGCAGGGACGGTTTGATGATGCTTCCCTCGCGGCCAGTCGCACTCGGGTGGATTGGATGTGTGGCGCTGGACGGCACTGGCGGCTGCCGCCCATCCTGCAGACCTATTCCTGGCTGCGGCAGGGCTCTGCGCGTGCTGGCTACCCCTCAGACATCCTGCGCTGTCGTACGTCTGCTATTGCTTCGGAACTGTTGGTCACGGGACGTGAGCTCAAATTTCAGAGAGCAGCCACCACAGCACTATACGAGCAGTTCGTCACACCGTTCCCGTTGAACGCGATCTTCGAGACCAGGCTGGCACGCTACTTTACCATGTATGAACCCTTCTTACATCGGGTGCCGTGGGAGGCGATTCAGATGCTGCTGCAGCTGCTGCCCACGAGCTGGGTCTTCCCTGTTATCAAGACGTGGGCCCCCGCTTGGTTCACAAGTTATCGAATAAGTTACCCTTCGGGAAAACGGCGGTGCATCTTTGGGTGTAACACTTGTGCAGACAGGCAGTGCCACTACATGCGGTGCCACCGTCTGGTTCGGGCTGTCGGTCGCGCACTGGGTCGCTCACTTCCTGCCTTTCTTCATGAGCGACTGTGCCTGACGGCGCCGTGTGTGGAACGGGCGGAGGAGCTGGCGGAGTTCGTTATCGTGAGTGGCCCCTACTGTTCTGAACTCTGCGACTCGGGCTGCTGTCAGAACTCTTCGAACGGCGTCTCCAACAGACCAGCTGGACAAGAAATGGAAGCCGCCGCCGTTCTTCATACCGACGCCGCGCACGGCCACCGATGATCTTTCCACCTCCTCGGCTGACGACCCCGACGTCGACCATGCCGTTCTGGCTGCTGCGAACGGTGAAGGTTTGGCCCCAGGGCGGTCACCATGCCTGACACCACGGCTCGTTCCTACGATGCCAAGCCCTGGCACTCCGTCGACGCTGATCGCCACGCCCGAACGTGTTGGACAGAGTGACGGTTGCGACGACAATGTTACTGGCAGAACGCAAAGTCCTGTGCACGGGTGCTCCTCGAGCCCGTTGCTGCAGGCTCAGTCGTCGCCAATGTTGCTGGATGTTGGTGGAAATTCTGGCCTTTGCGCTTCAAGAGTGAATTGTGAGCGTGGCGTCTCAGCCGATTATCTAACTGGCGTCAGATCGCGAAGCCCTGGTGGCGGGTGCTCCTCGAGCCCGCCCTCCCAGGCTCCACGAGTATCTCGCGAGGAGCTGTCTCATCTGTCCAGTGGCATCAGAACGCAAAGTCCTGGGCTTGGGTGCTCCTCGAGCCCAATGCCCAAGGCTCGAGTAAATTGCGAGTTCAAGGTCCCCAGCTCCATGGTGTCGATGGCGGTGAGACGCTCCCGCCGTGGCTACCTTCTGTCGACGGCGCCTATTTCCCCGACCGCTACGCGCCCGCCCTGCTCTTCTCCGACCTTGCCAGGGCTTTCCCCTCGCTCGCCACGGGTTCTGACTGCTACTCCGCCGATGTCGATTTCCGTGGGTGCTTCGCGAATGGCGGCTCCCTCATCGTGTGTTTCCACGGGACGCCCGTCCTCGGCGACCCCGCGGGCTCAGAGGTTGTCTCCAGCCACTCCTCGTTCGGCGTCGAGCACCCCTTCTCGCCCTGAGGCCTTTGCTGGAAAAGCCCATTCCCTGTTGCCTGTCTCTTTTACCTCCGCTGCTCGGCGCACCTCCCCCGCCCTGTCGCTCGCGACTTATTTGCCCGCCGCCTCCCCAGTGCCCCTCGCTCCGCGCACCGACTCGCCTGCGCTTCCTGGCTTCCGTCCTCGTGTTGTCTCTCCCCCGTCCTTTCCTCGTTCGAGCTCTGCTGCTGCGTCTGCGTGCGCCCCTCCTGCTCCTCCTCTGAATAAAATGACGGCTCCTGCCCGCGCTTCATCTTCCACCAGATCTCCTCGACAGCGGCACCGAGCCCGTGCCGAGCGACCAGGACAACCTGGTGCGCCCTTCCGCACCGCCGCCGCTGCCGCTCCTGCCTGCTCGGGGCTGAGGGGCCTCTGAGCGCGATGGAGACACTCGCCCCCTCCTACGCTGCGCTCCTCCTCCTCCTCCTCCTCCTCCTCCTCCTCCCCCTCCTCCACTCCTCCTCCTCCTCCTCCTCCTCTTCCTCCTCCTCCTCCTCCTCCTCCGCCTCCGCCTCCTCATCCTCATCCTCCTCCGCCTCCTCCTCCTCCTCGTCCTCCTCCTCCCCCCTCCTCCTCCTCATATTAGGCGTCGTCCCGTAGGAGTAGGGTCTTGCGGTCCTGCCTTGGCGAGAGAGCTCCTCCAGCAGCCGGGACAGCGCTGCCCTTTGGGCCAGCCACGTGGGCAGCTGGGGCCAAGGGGGCGCCCTGGTCGAAGCCGAGGGTGCTCTCGATCTCCTCGAAGTTGCCCGCTGCGTCTCGCCAGAAATGTTTGGCGGGCCAGAGGTAATTATCACGTGTCAAGCACCCACGCGATCTCCAGCACGTGCTCAGCCATGGCGCGGATTGCTAGATCTTGCCCCAGGCGCTGGAAGGCCGTTTTGATACCCACGTCAATGGGCACCAGCCCCGGGTGTGCGTCTGACTTGGCCTGCAGTTGCTTGAGCACCAGATCGGCACCACACTTCCTGCCAACTCCTCACTGCTGGGGGTCCGTCGCCTGGCGGAGCCTTGGTCTCTTGACCCGCGCCAGTGCTCGCATTCCGAGTTTTTCAGGCTGGCCCCCACGAGCAGTGGGCGGGCATCTCCGTGCTCGTTGTCAGAAGCCACCAGCTCGCCCACCCCGAGTGCTTGAAGCACCGGCGCCAGCACCTCCCCGAAGGTGAGCTTGGTGGCCGCCTGTGCTGACAAGACGAGCGCCTCCAGGGAGTCGCCGCTGTGGGGATGTGGTCCAGGCGGGCCTCGTGGGCGAAACACCTATCTGTAATTATCCGCGGCTTCGCGGGCCTGGCCCCTGGGCCGCGACCCCGCGGATACGGGGCGTTTTCCTCGCGGATGCCCCGCGTAGAACGTATCCGTGCGACCGCGTATCCGCGGGATCGCGCCTCGGAAGCCCGACCGCGAGGGCGCGGACACGGACATGTTCGCCGCTTGTGAGGGCACGTGAGGGCCCCGAGCTGATCTGGTGCTGTCTGCCGGGGTGGCTCGCCGAGGCGCTTGCCAGCCTCGCCCCCCACCTCGCCCCACAAGCCTGGGTCGGGAGCGGACCCGCGGCGGTATGCGGGCTGAGCAGGGCCGCCGGCCAGGGC